CATCCCATCCTGTCCAAACGCTCCTGCAGCTCTGGCAGCCTCGGGGCCGTGCCCATTCCTTGGACAGTGCCCAGCACGCTCTGGGGGAAGAATTTTTCAGTGAGATTCAACCTAAAGCTCCCCTGAAGCAGCTCCAGCCGTTCCYAGGGTTTGTCCCTCTCACAGATTGGAGCTTCCCTTTGGATAAAGCTGCAGACATTGCTAAGTTTCCCCTCAGTATCCCCTTCCCAGAGCCAGGAAAGGCTGGGACAGGGCTCCCAAATCCTCACGGAGGGCTGGGTGCATCCTCTGGGGCACAGGGCACAGTGCAAGGGCATCSTGGACATTCTCCAGCCAGGATCATTCCTGTTGGAGGCATTTCTGGAGCTGGAGGGAGCCCAAAAAAAAAAAGCACCAGTCACTGGTGAAGGGCCCTGCCCCATTTCACTGTCCATTCAGATAAAGTGCTGCTTTTGTGTAAATGGCAAAAAAAAAAAACAAACAAAAAAAAAACAATCGAGTTCCTCATGCTCAAAGTATCTGCCCCAGTTTGGGTTTAAACTTGTCACCTGGAGGACTTTGTACACCAGGAAAGAAAAGGAAGGAAAACCTGGAAAATGGCTTAAATGTTTAATCACATGACATCCAAAAAACAGCTGCCTGGTTAGGGCAGCTCTCCTGRAGTTTGCTGGAAGAAATGTGCTGCCTGCAACATCCTGTCTGCCCCAGCTCTGCCAGATCCTTGAGCCACAGTGAAAATGTTCCACTGAGGTTGGAAAARCYCTCCCAGACCGTCGAGTCCAAGCTGTGACCTGTCCCCACCTGTCMCCAGCACTGAGTGCCATGTCCAGGCATTCCTTGGACACCTCCAGGGWTGGASCCACTTSCAATTCCTGACCACCCCTTCCATGGAGAAATTCCCCCTGATGTCCAGCCTGAGCCTCCCATGTTGGGAGGGCAYMGAATCACAGAATATCCTGAGTTGGAAGGATCATTGAGTCCAACTCCTGGCCYTGCACASACACCCCAACAATCCCACCCTGTGCCTGAGAGCAAAATCTCTGCACTTTATGTCCCACAATTTAAGCACAAGCTGTCTCCATTTCATACAACTGATCCCTCAACTCCCAGGTCTTCCAATAGAGGAAAAAAGAAAAAGAAAAGTGATCCAGAGTGTTCCTTCCAGCCTGAGTGCATGGATTTTCCACAGGTGTCTCTTTAAATCGTGTGCGTGTCCTCGCAGACAGTCTCAATCACGGAGGAYTTGTGGGTGCTCTCTGCTTCTGGGCTCTCCTCAGAGACCTTCAGCTGCCTCCTGAAGCGAGARACCACCCTCCTGAGGGAGGAGAACAGCTCCTTGCTCCTCAGGGCGTAAATGATGGGGTTCACCATGGAGTTGAGCAGGCASAGGGTGCTGCAGAAGGCGAACACCTTGCGCAGGTGAGCGCTCAGCTTGCTGAAAATGCTGTAGATCATGAGCACCAGGACTGGGGACCAGCAGAGCATGAGGACAGCCAGCACCATSACCAGAGTCTTGGCCAGCATCACGTCCATCCTCATCCTGCTGTTCTGCTTCCCTGCTTGTGCCTGCTGCTTCTCCATGTAGGCCACGTGCTGCCGAGCCCTCCAGAGCACATGGGCGTAGGCGTAGATGATGCAGCCCAGCAGGACCACGATGAAGCAGATCCAGCCCGACAGGTAATTGTCATCCACAAAGGGGAAAAGCTCGGAGCAGGTGGAATCCAGCACGCAGCAATTCCAGCCCAGGAGGGGCAGGTAAGCAATGGTGGCACAGGTGAGCCAGAGTGCTGCCAGTGCTGTCCAGGCTCTTTTCCTGGTCATCAGGAGCTTGTATTCCGAGGGCCGGCTGATGGAGAGGTAGCGGTCCAGGGCTGTGAGYAGCAGGCTGCTGAGGGAGGCACAGAAGGATGTGTTCACCCCTCCCAGCTGCAGCAGGAACATTTCCTTGGAGAAACCGGTGTCGTTAAACACGTGGAAGTTAACGAAGCTGCAGACAAAGATGATGCTGGCCAGGATGTCAGCCAGGGCCAGGCTGCCGATGAAGAGGTAGGAAGGCTTTTTCCTGGTCCCGGGGGAAGARAAAATCAGGTAGAGCACCAAGGAGTTCTCAAAAACGCACATTGTCCCAAAGAGGCCGCACAGGATGCCRATGCTTATCTTCTGTGTCTGCGTGCTGAGCACCATGAAGCACTCCATGGTGTTCCCGCTGCACTTGGAGGCGTTTTCGGGTACYCTGCAAGTATCCATGGTGGTTACCTGGAGCTGGGAGCTCACAGAGAGCCTTCTGCTKCCTTCTGCACTTCTTCAGATGCTCTGAAAAAGGTGGAGGTGAAGAGGTCTTAACAAGCAATAAATTCAACCCCCTTTAAGGGGAAGCAAGGAAAATGAAATCAGCCCACAGCCCGAATGCTGGAGCCAACTTCCACACTTTGTCCCACCGGGTGTTTGGCTGAGGCCCAAATTTAAATTTCCCGGGGGCATCCAGGCTGGTTCCTCACCACAAGAGGGAAGCAGCAATGCTGAGAATTGTACAAATGCTGAGCTCTTACCACTCCTCCAGGATTCYCTGCTCAGGGCTGGAAGGGGCTGCTCATGGTCCCCTGAACAGCCTGTCCCACTGAARCAGCCCTGAGAGATGGCTTGGATGGAGAAGGATGAGAGATATTGCTCTGCCAGGGATTCAGTGCAGCTCATCTGCTAACACAAACTGCACTCTGAAGCATTTACTCTGCACCAGAGYTGTTTGAACACATAAAATAACAAAACTGCTTTTATTGTTAAGTTTACCCGTTGCAGCTTTACAAAGCTCAGCCTCATTGCAGTTGTGTTTTTCCCTTCGTCTTCCCTGTGCTGTGGTCAGAGGGATGAAAGGTTATGTTTGACATTGATATTAGAGTCAAGAGGAGCTGTGGGATACACTAAAGCTGCCTGATTTACAGCGAAATGCTGCGCCCAAGCCCATGGAACAGCACTYCCCAAAAACTTCCAGGATCTCTCATCCAGGCAATGGGAGCATGAATTCCCTCTGCTGGAGGAGAGATCTGAGCTGACAGCTTTCCCTTTCCCCCAAAACAAACAAGTCACYGTCCCTCCCTCCCCTCACTCTCTTGTGAAAGAGGAAATGTCCAAATCACACGAGCCATGGCCAGGATGTGACAGCCACAGCTCCCCGGGGAGCAGAGAGGGGCTGAGCTGCTGCCATGTGGGTTCCTGCCACCTCTTCTCCTCCATCCGTGGTTCYTCTGCCTGCTGAGTGACATTTGGCAAAAGCAGCAGCTGCTTGTAGAGGTGACAACAGCCAACACCAACCAACCAACCTCTGTCTGTGTCATCTTGGCAGTGACACGTGTTTTAGACCTGGCTTGGGGACTTCCTTCCCCAGCACTCATCGCTGTTGCTGTGTTTCAGGAGTTGCAAAATACCCCCAATGACTTGAGAGCTGCTCAGGAGGTGACAGAGAAGAGCCCCAGCCCCACATTTCTCTCCTGTCAGGGCTGGGACATCACTGGCTGCAGGGAGATCAGTGCATGTTACAGGCACAGCAGGGCAATCCTGGTTGAGATTTCTTGGTGTTCCAGGCTGCAGCAGTCCTGGACTTTGGGCTGCCATGTGGCTGAGTGTTGCAGCAAGGCTGYTCTGCTCTTACATCAGCTCTGGCATGGGGTAACAACACAGGGCCAGGATGTTGCCCTCAGATCTCAGAGCTCTCGTTTCCTGCAGCCCTTTACAGGGACACACAGAGGCAGCAGGAATTACCTRCTGCTGTTATTAAACCTGACAAGATCCCTCCCTCTGGAGAGAGATGGACTTTTCATATTGCAGGACTCGCCAGGGACCACTGGAACAGCAACTGCCTCGAGTATCCAAACCTCCCCAGGCAAAGCCCAGCATCCAAACCAAGCCAGCTCTTAMTTAAGCAGCCTCCAGCATCACCTTGGTATCCATTACCTGCCACCAGCATTCCCAGGACCAYTGTAAATCCTCCAACCTGCAGTTGTGCAATATCAACTGCCATCCTGAGGAGTTTGGAAACCACTGAGCATTGGACAAGGGAGTGAAGGCAGCAAAAGCCATCCCTGATGTTGTGTTGCTTGGGGAGAGAATCTGCTATAATGTTAAAATGACTCCTGCCCTGCCTGTCCTGGCCCAGCTCTCTCCACTATGTTGATAGAACTCAGATAAGCCTCAGGCTCAAAATCCTGCTCTGGGCTCACAGCAATGAGCCAGCCCCGACCTTCTGYTCCCACGTCTGTTCTGTCTCAGGCTGGATGACAAGGACAGATCTCTTTWCTCCCCCAGACCCCCCTTCCAGCTCCTGTGTCCATGAGGGCAGGCACGGGGCTGTGCTCCAGCACAAGGTCTCTTCTGCATGAGCATGAAAACACGAGCAGTGCCAAGAGCTCCTCTCCTTGCACTGTCTGTCCCTTCTTTTTTGCTTTTTTGGCTGCTTTTTCCTGCCCAGGGGGCATTTTCCTCTTGTCAGATGGGCCCCTGGATTTGTTTGTCCATGCTCTCTGCCTCCTGCCTGGCTTAGCTCCTGGAAAAAGTGCCAGCTTTTTCTGCTTCCAGGGGCAGAGCTGATCTGCAGCATCCTCCATGGGGCAAGTCCCATTTTCAGGGTGGAAAAAAGCAGTTTCCTGCTTTCCAGGAGCAGCATCTCCACCTTCCTGGGAACTCCAGCCCCAGGCATGGCTGTGATCTCCCCACATCCAGCCTGACAAGCCTGGGGAGTCCTGGCCGCATGGGCTGGCAGCTCAGCTCAACAAGAAAGAGCCTTCTGGGCCTCCTTTAGATTTTTTAGAGGAAATGCAGCAGCTGAGAGGAGATTCCCTGGGCTTCTGCACAGGATGAACTCTCTGATCACAGCACAGCAGATGGCCCAGGGCAGGCAATATTTTGCCAAAGTGCTGTGTCCTTGTGATAGAGAATCCCCCCAGTAACAACAGCAGAGCCCCAGGACACCACACTGTGAATGAATGAGGAGTGAGTTATTAGGAACAGAATCCAGACAAAATTCTTGGAAATGCAACTTATTCCTGATACAGCCTCAATGGCTGCAAAGTCTGCCCAGGGCAGCAGAGAAACCTCCCCTTCCATTAGATCTGCTGTGAACCCACTCACTCCAGCCTAATAACTCCAGCTAGCTTCGGGGGAAATTAAATTTACAAATGAAAAAGTCCTTTTCCTTCTCAGTGCCTCGCTGCGATTGATTSCAGCTGTCGGGCTGGCAGTGCCTCGCACGCAGCAGCACCGTTCCCTCTTCCACTTGGGATGGTTTCTGCCTTCACAGAGCCATCACAGCATCCTGCTGATTAAAAAGTTACGTACCAGTCACTTAGATAATATAAAATTAAATTTTCCTGCTGCAATCAGCCAGTGCATTGTGCCTGCAGCACTGTGAAAGTGCTGGTCTTGAATATTTCATGYTCAGAATTTCTAAGAGTTTTATGCTTTACAATAAAAAAAAATGTCTTAAATGATTACCTACTATGAAAATGTGTGGTTATTTATGCAAAAATTGTCACTAATGCTTGCAAATTTCATTTGCTGAGAAAGCAAAGTACCTTTTGCTTTACAAACATTTTAGTTTAGATGTGATTTCTTGATTTAAGTTGCAGTTTTTCCATTATTTTGGAATTGCTATTTACCCTGGTTTGTCYTGCTGACCATATTAAATAATACTGAGTGGAATTCCTTTCCTGATGTAAGACCTGCCTGTCTCAAATATCCCACTGGAGATTATTTGTTTGTTTATTATCAAAGTCCAGCTCTGTCCATGTGTGRCTGCCTGAGGGGACAACATTTGAAACCCAGGATGGGGAGAGTGCAGAGCAGTTGCAAGTGCCAGTTTGGGCACAAAGCAGGGCAAACCAGAGCTGATTTCACTCCACCAAAACCATAATAAACACTGAACTCAGCATCACATCCCTGTGAGACATTTGGAAATACCTCTGACACAGAGAAACAAGGAATGGTTTGGGTTGGAAGGGACCTTAAAGGCCATCCAGCTTCATCCTTCACTATCCCAGGATTTTTCAAATCCCATCCCACCTGGCCTTGGACACTTCCAGGGATTGCTGCTCTGAGCAATCTGTGCCAGGGCCTCCCCACCCTCACWKCACAGATTTTTTTGGAACCCATTCCCCATTGTCCTTCACTACAGTTCCTGATAAACTAATTCAACATTAACAATTCCCAAAATCATCTGTGAAGAGTTAACCCATAGCCTGCTATTTAGCACTTACCTTTCACGTTCTCCTTAAGGAAGAATTCATCCTAAAAACCATTTTCCCACCTTCTGTTACACATTGCATTGCAGTTTATCCCCAACACTTAATCCCGGGAATCTCCCCATGCAGCAGAGTCTCCCCAGCCTGCCTTGTGTGTGGCAGCACCGAGTTTTCCAGTGTGAAAAAAGGGCTGCAGGGTGCTGTGGGTGAGCAAACACAAACCACTCACCTCCCCACAGATGTTCCGGGGCTTCCCATCCCTCCGGCTCTCAGGGCACTTTGTGCAGCTGCGGACGGCGCCTGCTTCCCTCTCCTCTCACAGCACTTCTGGTTTCGCCTGGGTTTGTTGAACCATTCTGATTTATTCCCCTGGGTTGCAAACCCATCAGTGTGAATCCTTTCTCTGCTTCCTTGCTCTCTTGTCACATTCTTTTGGAGAATGTGTGTCGGGTTTTCTTTCCTTCCCCACWTCTCCTCTGGGTGCTGTGTTCTGCTCGTGCCACATCTACAACCACCCAAACCCTCCGGCTCGCTGAATTAATCCTCCCAGTCCCTCTCATTTTCCTTGCAGCGTTTGATGCAAGAGACTTTCAGGTTCTCCTCCTGATTTCTCTGGGGATGTGGAAGAGGATGGGGAAGSAAAAATGCCGGGAGGCAGATGTGGAAAAATCTCGATGCACTTGGCTGTGTGGAGGTCTAAGGGCAAACTCAGAAATGTGCTGTGTGTCCCTGCAGCTCCATGAGCAGCACGAACCTCACCTTTTTGTACCCCTGAAYGTGTGGAAAGCCCTTGTCTGCACACAGCCAGCTAATGCCGGGGGGAAAAGGTGATTTTTCTCTCTGCAAGTGGAAGGGAAATGGCTTAAGGTCTTCAGTTACAAAATCCCTGTGGTCGGGAAGGACCCGGGGCTGCAGAGGCGGTGGTCACTGCTGTACCTGTTCTCATCCATCCTTCCTCCAGTAACCACTTCCCCCTCGGCTGGGTAGCGCTGGGTTGTGCTGGTGCTGCTGAAAAGCAGGGACAGCTGCTGGGTGACACCAGGGACAATATCACCGTGTCGGTGGGGAGAGTTCGCCCCAAATCCCGAAGGAATTTGCCACATTATGGTTGGATT